GGAGGAATGTCCAAATAATGATACAAATTTGGGATATTTTATGCCGCACCGAGCAGTGATACGACCTAGTGAAACTACTAAGGTAAGAATTGTGTACGATGCTAGCTCAAGGACAGAGGACACGAATTCGTTAAATGACTGCCTTGAATCGGGACCTAATCTAAATCCAAATATATACTAGACATTATGTTAAATTTTCGTAAGTTTAAGATAGCGTTTTGTGGAGACGTTGAAAAAGCCTTTTTGATGATAGGAATTGCTGAAGGTGATAGAAAATTTCTAAAATTTCTTTGGTTTAATGAAAATAATGACTCCTTTAAGATTATGCAAATGTGTCGCGTAGCTTTCGGTTTGACTATATCTCCTTTCATTTTGGCCGCCACTATAAAATATCACATTCGAAAATATAAAGATAAAATGCCGGACAGTTTCCAAATGTTAAATTCTTCTGTCTATGTCGATGACCTATATTTTGGAGCAGGAACGGTTGAAGATGCATATCGGTTATCTGTAGATGCGGTTAATATATTTAAGGATGCTGGGATGAATTTCAGAAAATTAAGAACTAATTCTAAAGCATTAAACGATTTATGGGTCTCAGATGGGATTAAGGAATCAGACAACAAATTAACTAGTGAATCGAATTTCTTAGGCATGATTTGGAATTCCATTGAAGACGATATAAAGTTAAATTTAAAAAATTTAATTGACTTTTCTACTGGAAACGATTTTGCTACAAAAAGGAAACTTTTGCAAAGCATCGCCCAAATATACGATCCATTTGGATTTATTGCACCCTTTGTTATTCGGGCAAAAATTATTATGCAAGAAATCTGGTGTTCCGGTTCTGACTGGGATGAGGTCCTTCCTGCAGAGATTAAGGACAAATTCAACATTTGGCGGGAGGAACTTAATGATTTAACTGAAATATCGATACAGAGAAATTTCTTTGATGACGATCCAATGAATATAAGCCTTCACCTATTTTCGGACGCTAGTCCTAAAGCATATGGGGCCATCGCATATTTCAGATATTGTACGAGTGATTCTAAAATTAAAACTTCCTTTATCATGTCGAAATGCAGAGTTGCACCTTTAAGAGCAATCACGCTTCCTCGTTTAGAGTTAATGGGAGCACTCGTGGCTGCTCGAATGTATAAATATTTGAAAAAATTGTTTGGTGATTTAATTGAGGATGTTTATTTTTGGAGTGATTCCGAAATCGCCATTACTTGGATTAAAGGTTCGCCAAATAATTGGAAACCATTTATCGCCAATCGTGTTACAGAAATACAGAGTATATGCAACAAAAAATTGTGGAACCACTTGCGAAGGAAAACAAAATCCTTCCGATTTACTAACTCGAGGAATTAGTGCTCAGTCACTAGTTAAGAATGATCTGTGGTGGCATGGGCCACACTGGTTACGTTTTCCTACTGAAAACTTTCCAAAACAAAAGAAATTAAAACCAAATTCAGAATCGTTGGAGTTAAGAAAAAGTATTATTTTGACTGCACCTGTAATTAACAATGAATCCCCAATTTTGCATATAGAAAAATTCAGTTCTTTAGGAAAATTACTTCGAATTACTGCCTATGTATTTAGATTTATTGGGAGGCTTCGGAAAAGGTCTACAGAGAATGGACCTTTAAGTGCTTTTGAGATTAAAGCAGCTGAACATTATTGGGTAAAAATTACGCAACGAGAATCGTATCAAGCGGAAATAATTAAGTTATCAAATAAAAAATCAATTCTCGATTCTTCCATCTACTCCCTTAATCCAAGGCTTGATGAGGAGGGAATTCTTCGGTTGAAAGGTCGCATTCAATTTGCAGACTGTCACGAGAATTTAAAACATCCTATTCTATTACCCTCAAAATGCAAGTTTACCGAGTTGATCATCATGGACTCGCATGAAAGGGTATTCCATGCTGGAGTTAATTCGACACTAACTCAGATCAGAGACAAATATTGGATCATTAAGGGAAGACAGCGTGTTAAGACTATCATCAGCAAATGTGTGATATGCAAACGATATAGTGCTCGTCCTGGGGTACAGGATATCGCTCCACTTCCTCCAGACAGAATCCAAGAGTCGCCTCCATTTGCTGTGACCGGGTTGGACTTCGCCGGTCCATTTTTTACGAAAGACAGGCAAGGTAAAGTTTACATGCTGTTGTTAACGTGTGCGGTCACTCGTGCCTTACATATAGAGATAGTAACTGATCTCAGCACTGAAAGTTTTTTGCTAGCTTTCCGAAGATTTTTAGCTCGCCGAGGACTGTGTACCACCGTGTACTCCGATAATGCCAAGACTTTTAAAAGAGCTGATAAAGAACTAAAACATATTTTTAAAACTTTGAGTGACTCATCTGTGAAAGAATTATTTTCTGCTAGAGGCATAAATTGGAAATTTATTATTGAGAGGGGTCCATGGTGGGGAGGGTTTTGGGAGCGTATGGTACGAACCATAAAATCCAGCTTGCGAAAAATTATTGGTCGATCATCCCTTACTGTGAAAGAGCTTGAAACAGTGCTCATTGAAATCGAGGCAATGATTAATTGTAGACCAATTACCTACGTGTTTACCGATCCCAATGAACCTTCTCCACTAACACCCTCTCATTTTCTGGTTGGTAGACGATTGCTATCTCTGCCTGCTAATAAAATAACATCAAATAATTTGATTGGGTCAAGAAATTCAATTATTAAACGATATAAATACCATCAAGATATTTTAAATCATTTTTGGAAGCGTTGGAGATCAGAGTATCTTTTTAATCTGAGATCTGCCAATATTTGTCCTCCACACTCTAACGCATCTCAGTTTAAAATCAACGATATTGTCTTGATTCATGACGACAAAACATCCCAGAAATCTTGGACAATAGGTAAAATTTTGGAATTAATGCCAGGCAGAGATGGTAAAAATAAGATCTTGCATAATTAAAACACCTACTGGTACCTTAAAAAGGCCTATACAATTGTTATATAATATGGAACTTAACTAATGTTTGTATTTTGTATTTTTAGGTTTGATTCTCCTGACCTTGCTGATAGGTATCATTTAATGTTTTGTAAAATTTTATGTGCTTATAATTATGTATGCATGTTTGTTATATTTAACCATTTCTCCAGGATTTATTGTCGAAATATTAATTGAATATTCTAGAATATATTATTGAAAGATGAACTCTCCACCGAGTTCAGGTGGGGAGTGTTGTGTAATTTGAAGAAAAAGGCTAGAGGGCGCTGTTGCTCGCTTAGTTGTAAGAGAATAAAGTTTGTTCATGTTGAAGGCGGCGGCCTAAGAATACGCTCTGTATATAGTAATTAAAATATTGTTAAAAACGTAAAAGTGTTCAAATTAGTAAACCCACTGAACCACCATCATCTGATTTGGAGATGCACAAAATTATTAGACATATGCAGTGAATATCTTATCACAATTTCAGGAGAATCCTGGAATTAGGCATTGGGAAGCATTGTTGAAATTGCTTGGTTATCTAAATAGTACTAAATTATATAAGTTAAACTTATCGAAAATTAAACATCTAAATTTATATTGTTATTCAGATGCTGATTATGCAAGTAATAGAGATGACTGTGTGTCCATGGGAGGATTTATAATATATTTAGATGAAGTACCGGTAATCTGGAAAACTGTTAGAGAAAAATGTGTAAGTTTATCAACCATGGAAGCGGAGTAAATCGCCTTATTTGAAGCAGCGAAGGAATTAATGTGGACGAAAATGTCTTACAAGATGAAATTTTAAAGTTTAATTTAAGAGAGTGTAAACTATTTTGTGATAACAAGTCTGCCATTGATTTTTTTAGATCGGGAATAGAAAATCGCCGAACTAAGCACATAGACATAAAATATCACTTTGTTAGAAGACTAGTAAATGATGGAGTGTTTGACCTTGAATTTATCACCAGTAAATTAAATACTGCCGATTTATTTACAAAAGCAGTGACTGCTGTTAATTTAAGAAAGTTTTGTTTAGATGTTTTCAGTGTTTAAAGACAATAAGTGTTTTCGTATAACAGAATTGAACAATGAATTTCTGCATAAGTTTTGTTTTTGCCTTTGCATTAGGAAAAGAGGGCCGTTTGTTGTCTTTAGTTTTCCACATGCGAATTTTGATCGGAGGTCAATCGGCGGTAAGCTAACGTGATTGCCGCTGATTGGCCGATGACATCAAAATCGACGGGTTGGCCGAGTATTATATATATGTACGCCGGTATCGGTGAATGTCTTGTTCTCTTGTGTTACTATGAGTTAGCATAGTGCTAGTTTGCTTTCAATGAAATGATTTTAAATGTAAAGGCTACAGTGTTAGCTCTTTTATTTTAATTTATGGAATAAAGCATGAATTTTATTTAGATTAGTCTTAGCTTTATTTAAGGGAAGCAAAATATGCTTTGCCTTCATCACCACTTTCAACAGTCCCCCCCCCCAAACGCAGAGCAGCGTGAAATTGATAAACAGATTTCGGAATGGTTAGATAAACAAAGGATATGCCTTTATTCATTTTTTGCAGCAATTCCACTTTTTGTGTAATGGACTTCGAACCATACTTTCGCTTTGTAGCTCCTTTACATATTAGTAACTATATATCAGTAATTCTATTTGACATAATCGAAAGTTCAAGCTTACTTTTATAAAATTGCTCTAACAGTCTGCAAAAAATAATAAGCCGGATCCAATTCGAAGATTAAGGAACAACGCAATCTGCAACATTAACTGAATTAGATAGTTTTAGCTTAGCTTATACTGTCCGTTATACATTAAACGCGCATTCTTAAACGTATTTTGCGCATGTGCACACGCATATTCACAGCCGTAATGGTCTTGCGCGCATGCGTCAACGCGATGCATGCGCAGAAAGTTTGTAGCTTTGATGTCCGGATTATAGATCATTCTGGATTATGGGTGTCCGAATTAACGACCTTTGACTGTAATTATTAAAATTTATAAATTAAAACATAAATTTTACCTAAAGCATAAATTTTACCATCCAAAACTGCAACACTTAGGGCACTTCTACGAGAAGACATAGGAGAGACAAAGACCCATTCATTTGTTTCTGTATCATACTTTTCAACAGATTTCAATTGCAGAGCTCCATCATAGCCACCAACGGCATAGATATAATGATCTAAAGCTACTACACCTTTCAAGAAAAGAAAACACAACTTCATTTAAAATAATTAACATTTTTAAATTTTATAGCCATAAACAGAACAGCATATTAATATAAACTTCATCATAAGACATCAGAAATACTTCTCAATGTAATTACAATCATTTCTATTGAAATTAATTTGCATTATAAATACTTAATAATTCATATAATGATGACAAGAAAAACAGTTTTTCATGAATAATTAGTTTTCACTACAGTGATTTATATTAAATTTACACAGATCAGCATCAAATCAATTTTTATAAGCTTAAAATTAACATAAATGTTTTAGGATAAGTTCTGAAGATTTATACACAGAATTCAAGAGATGTTTCATTTCTCTCAAACTTCTTAAACAATTTATCTTTTGCAGACAAAGAAGAACTTCAACTATTTCCATTTGCAGATATAGAGCTACAAAGAACAACATTCTTTTTATCTAGTGTTCTTTATGAAAATAAGTATGTATTAACATTTAAACTAATAGAAAAATGCATGTCTACAATTGTCTTACAAGTTTGATTTCTTAGTTCCCTCTTTTATTTTCTAATGCAATATTGTGATGCATTTTCTGACCTAATATGTACTTTTAAATTTATTGCTAAGCAATTTTTATAATTTGAATTGACATTCTGTACACATTTTAATTTCAAGTTAGATTTATCATTTTACTTTTATTTTAATTCACAAAAATGATAAATTCTAGCAGTTTATTTAGTTTCAAAATTTATTTCTATTTGCCTGTGGTTTAATAAAATATTAACAGAAAGTAATGACAAAGTTTGTTCATACATCTCATACATAGTTTATTGGTTAATAAATATAATACTTAAACATTTATGCTTTAAAAAAAAGAAATAAATTATAAATATTTCTCATAGGTTGCTGCTGAAGTAAAATGTTTATCACATCAGCATTTATAAAATAGCTTAGGTTTACCAGATTTTTTTTTTTAAAGAATTTATAACCAGGAACACCAAATTACTTTTTTTCCCCTCAGCTCCTTTCCTTCAATGGTGGGTACTAGCCATTATAAGTGTTGGTCACTATTAAGGCTGGAAGTGGTGGTCATGTTATTACGGAGGCAACTAATAGGTGGGCAATCGTTGCCTCCGATGCTCGAATAAGCAATCTTCATCTATATCTTCTCTGGGATTGGAACCCAGGGCCTTCGTTATGGCAGTCAGAGTCACTACCCATTTTCCTATTTGGAGGGTTCATATCGAATACCTTAATGCCATGGTATCGAAACTATGGGTCATGATCCCATTTGGGGTTAAAAAAATTTAGAGCGGAGCTACAAGGTGGATAAAAATCCTAAAAAAGCTGATTCAATGATATACGAGGGCTATCCAGAAAGTAGATTACGTTTTGGAATAAAAAAATAAACAAAGTATAGGAAACAAATTTTATTATATACAGATGAAAGCCACACTCAAATACTACTTTTCTACATAGTCACCATACAAATTAAGGCATTTATCGTAGCGATGTACGAGCTTGGAAATTCCTTCGTCGAAAAATTCGGCCGCCTGCGCCTTCAACCACTTCGTTACCTCTTCTTGCCTTCCATCTTGCACAAAACTTGTGGTAACCAAGCTTTTCGCTGATGATTTCGTGCAAAAAACTTCGCGAAATTTGTGGAAAAACTCAAAGAAAGTTCCGTTATTGTGAAATTTCGATTTTCACGGACTTTAGCATCGACTTTTTCGAGAAGTTCGGCGGTCACTATGCTGGGTCTCCCACTTCGATCTTCGTCGTGAACATTGGTTCGGCCATTTTGAAATCTTATGACCCACTGACGCACTCCACCTTCAGTGATAATGTTGTCCCCATACACTTCACGAAGCTGCCGATAGATTTCTATCGGTTTACAGTTTTTTGCAGTCAGAAACCTTATTACTGAGCGCACCTCGCGGGATTTTCAATTAACGCAGACATTTCAAACCGTCACAATATCTGAACAGAGGACAGCACGAACCTCTCACTAGCACGGCTAGATGCAGACTGAGCTGCGCAACGCTCTGACCCCAAGATGGCCGCGCTAGCCCCGCCCCTAGCGGACACAGACGGAAACGTAATCTACTTCCTGGATGGCCCTCGTATAACTAAGGGTTAATACTCTGATTGAGGTCTCAAAATAATTTTTGGAGGTCACTTGCTTTTATACAGAGTAATAAAAACATATAATTTGAATACCATTGCCTTAATTAATATACTAACAAATCAGACTAGTGAAAGATTTCTTCCCTCGTAATAGTAATAACAAAGTTTATTAATTCTGTTTTCACACTACATAACTATACCTGCGGTTTCATCAACTTCTCTACAAATGATATTACAATCATATTTAAGAATAAATGTGCATTCTATTATTTCAATAGTACACCAAAATATGTTACTTCATGCAAAAATATGTAACATTATTCTGAAAATTTAAAATCCAGTAAAACTTTTAAAATGCTAAATGTATTAAAAACTTCATCAGTAAACTAAAATTTAAACAAATCTTCTTTGGTGACCTGTAAATCAATGATGCCAAATACAATTGCATATGGGAAAAATGTATGACTTAAAGGCAGTTGATGGGCCATATTATTCTTTTAACAGGATAAGTGTGAAATATACATGCATAAATAAACATATATTCTGCCATAACATGATGCTACAAACATATATTCTGACATAATGTGATGTTACTCATGACAAGTATGTGTGTGGTATATTAAGTTTATAACATATTTGCAAATCATACTTTTAAAATTAAAATATTAACATCATGAACATGAAAATTATAATACCTGCACCACTCCTATTAATATTCATGCTGGCAACTAAAGTCCATGAATCCTTCTCCGGATTGTAACATTCGACTGTATTTAAACGACTATTTCCATCATAACCACCAACAGCATATAACAATCGTTTTACAACAGCCACACCTACACCTATTCGTGCAGTTAACATATTCTGAACTTTGTACCATTTATCCTCTGCAGGATCATACCTATAAAAGAGAATAGAAATTTACCATAAATATGATCCAATTATTGAATATCAAGAGAGATTAGGATAAAACAATGTATCTGAGGTAATATCTTTCACATAATGGGCTACCTTGTAGTATGCATTATTATTTAAAAAACAAACATGTTTTTAAATTTTTTGTTTTTGTGCAATTCAGGATTTCCTTGATTAGTTTATTTTTAAAGATTTGAAATTGCTTTTAAGAAATTCTCAAGATTCTTTAGGGGCCGGGGGGGGGAATCTGCTTTCGTACTGGTGGAAGCAACAGGCATCCAAAATGCAAAATATTATCTCGATTTTCTCACCACTGGTGAGTTAATGTAAATACAATATTCAAGTCTCCTTATAGCTATTTGCTGGAACATAAAACAATGCAACTGACCACAACATTAAGAGTTCCCAGTTGAAGCTAAAATTATTAACAGGGTCAAACAACCTACTTTACTAACTTTCTCACTTACCAAAACCATGCTGAACAACCAGCATTCACTTCTCATCTAACAATGACTTCAGAAAAGCAGAATCAAGGTATTTATTGCAAGTCATGCCATTTAGGATTCTTCTTCTCAATTTAAATTATGTGTTTGACATAAAACCTGTATAAACCTCTGGAATGAATTAGTACATGACGAAACAAGGCTAAAAGAAAGACTCGAAAATAAATTTCCACTGCTAGTTAAACTTAAATGAAATGTCATAAGGTGTTTTTCTCTATCAATTTGATGTGCTTTATTGAAATGATTTATTCAGATGCTGAGATAAACCGAATTCATTTTCAGAAAATGAAATATCTGAAATTTAATCCACCCTTCAAAAGCATGTCCTACATAGATCTGCATGATAGCAGGTAGATAAGACAACACTTGGTTAGCTCTATTAATAAATTTTCTGCTTTGTGAAAACTATTACTGATCACGCTTGATATTATTTCATTTTATCCATCTTGGTCAAAATTCTTGCATTAGAAACAAGTAGCTTAAATATTATACTTCTATTTCACTGATCAAATTTTTCACACATTAAAAGGCAAAGATCACATATCAAGACATTACAAAAAAAAATCTTTTCCACATTTTACGAAGAAAAATGAACTTCAGATTTGGAAAATTACAGTTTTTTAAATGAGAAGAAAAAAATTAATTTTTACATACTTTTTTACCCAAATTTTAAAGAATTTTCCTCAAGAATTAGAAATTAAAAAAAAAAAAAAAAAAAAAAAAAAAACACAAATGCTCAAGAGTTGGGATCTAAAATCTGTTAACAAATCTTGACAATCTTATGACAGAATGAATTCTCAACCACAATTGGTCCTGTTCTACATTTTCAAGTAAACCTTATCAACAATAACAACAATACTCAAAACAGCCTCATCCACCACCAAGTACATTTAACACATTGCAAAGTAATTTGCTTCAGCAGAAGTGGTTTTTATAACCCATTTCAGCAATTTTGTCTTCATTTTCATAATTGGATAATTCAGCATCCATTTTTCGTAACAACATAATTTTTTTCAACACTTTTAGACTCATAAATTTGAACTTGTGAATCAAAGTTTGAGTAATCTAAGGGTGCTGTTAAATACATGAAGAAATTCCTGAAATGCTAAGTCAGTCATGTTTTTTTTTTAATTGTTCCCATCAACTTTGAATGCTGGTGGTTCAAGCTGAGTATCAAGTAGAAGTCCTCTATCACCCTCATTGGTGAAAGAAAATTTCCAGCTAATTTTACCTTGTTTTGGTTGACAATATTACCTGCAACATTATGATAGAAGTGCTATTTTGGATTTTCAAGTAAAATGCTGTGGTTGAAAATGTTTCAGAAAGCTTCTGGAATGTTTTCAGGAAATTTTTAAACCTAGTATTTACTCATTACCTCTAAGATTCTCCTGTCTAATAGGATTTCAGTCTTGTTTAGCAACTTTCCATCACCAACGTATCATTTGCATCTATATAATCTTGTTCTTCATTTAAAACAGTAAATTCCAACTGTCGAAAAATAGCATTTAACTTTTGATCTACTAATAATATAGCTCAGCAGGATCACTTCCAGATAATCATATTACTAAAACATTTTGCATTCAGAATTTCATTTGTATTATTTTCATACAGCCATTTACATTTTCCAGATAGATAAGATCTACATAAGCATAGCAATGGTCGATGAAATGTAAATTTTTACGTTTCCTTTATGGAAACTTCTTTTACTAAGGATGTAGAGACATTAGGTTAATTTGGAAGCAGGCAAGAAGAAAATTGAGCAACCTCCTTCGCCGGGAATTGAACCACGGACCTCTGGATACCGGCCCAGCGTGCAGAACCACTACACCATGAAGGCATGCCAAGAAGGTGGGAGAAATAACCTTATAAGGAAAGCATGAAAATAGAAAACAAAATTTGAAGAAAATATTATGTGCTTAAGCATGATCTGTTAGTTTCATACAGCTTTAAAATATACTCCTTTTCATGAAATGTTATTATTAAGTCAAGAAAATACATCGCTGAAACAGGTATGATTTAACATTTTTTTAAAAATATATTTCAGGCAAGGCCATTATAAAATAAGGAAAAATTAAACCTTAACATTTCAGAGAGTTTCTTCCCCCTTTTTTAATGTAAATACATTATGCTTATCAAAAGAAAACTATACTTTCTATCAACTCACACCTAGCAAAGATATTTAAACTTAAAAGTTGAAAAAATGACTGCATAAAATCCAACTGTTTAGTATTACATTACGAAACAGAACAAATTTTATTAGTAAGTTTTTTAACAGAAAAATAGATGTGAAATGAAAAGGAAATTACTGATTAGATCAAAACTTCCTGGCTATATACTAACAATCAGATTAATTGTTTGCACACAAATTTTTTCACTTATGAAACATAAAAATAACTTATATTAATTATTATATATTTTATAACAACTAGCATAAGCTAGGCTTTAAACTATCAATGGTTGGTTACTGAGTTATAATGTAAAATCCAAAAATTTGATATACCTACAGATCAATCATTACTAAACAATAATCACTATATTAAATAATTTCATATATTACATAATAACTCATTTATTTCAGCTATTATTTTCAAGGAACTAATTTTTAAATTATCTATTTTAAAGAAAATTTACTATTTATTATTTACTGTAAATCTTGCAGACAAATATTAAAAACAAATTAAAAATTCAAAATATTTACCCAGCAATTATTTAATATCTTTCTCCAGATTAGATTTATGACATGCAAAATATTCTTTACAATATGAAAAAAATTCTTTAAAAAATATATATAAAGTTGATGTGAGCAGGGTTCGTATACATTTCCTTACATGAAAATTAAGGACTTTTAAGGACCATCAAAGAAAAAATTAAGGACCTATCAGCAAACAAAAAAATAAATAGAATAAAGTAATTATCCATACAACCGACTTCATGCTTGTAATTTACTTTAAGAAACTAACAGAAGTGTGTATTATGCACTATTATTAAATTCAATTTCATACTTATCAAAAACATAAAACAAGTTTGAAAATTAAACTAACTCCCTACAAGTTATCAAGGCAGATAACATTAAATTAGGAATATAATTTCTTGAAAAACATGTATTTAGCATATTTTACACTAATAACAGTCATACGTATTTTAGAGATTTACATGATTATTATTTAACTTATTTTGATATTTATTTAAACACAGTCAACTACTATTATAAATCACAATGCAAGAATATTTTGCAGATTAAAATAACAGATTTGTAAAACATACAATTTATTTCCTTTGGTTTTTTTGAAAGATACTAGATTAATAAACTGTACAATAAAAGATACAAAACAATTTGTGCTTTTTTTTTAAATCTGAAATCTTTTCAGCTATTTTAACATCTAATTTATTTATGTCTATTTCCTTTTCTTTAAACTATTCTTCTAAGTTCATTTGCTTTGATAAACAAATCAATGTTCTGCTGGTCTCAGCTTCATCTGCTAAAGCATCTACTTCTTCATTAATATCTTTAATGTCCCTTTGAAGAAATTTTTTCTTCTGCATCATATAATCAATTTCTTCCTCAATAATATTTCTTTTCCTCTTTGAATTTTCAGATTTAGTTAAAGATTTTGTTCTTCTAAATACTGAAACTTAAATAACGAACTCCACTTCTTGCAGAAGCTGCTGTTGCTGATCTCTTTTTCTTATTAATTTCGATATTAAGAAACACCTCCAGAAAATTTATGTAATCAAATACTATGCGTTGAAAAATGTATGATGAGTCACTTAAATTTTCAATTTCAATTGCTTTATTTACAGAGAAGCCCTTTCCACAGAGTTCATGTGACAAGATAAGAATACTTGAATAGTGAAAATATACATTTTTTACTATATATATATATATGTATGTATATATATATATATAATTTATTTCCTAAACATATTGATTAATTGATTATATATTATCCTAAGTTTAATTAAAGTAGAATTATTTTAAAAAGAGAGAATCCATACTGGTAAGTTATATTTTAAAAGATGTATATATATATACAGTACAAAGTCCGAGATTCGGACATCAATATCTGGAATGATCTAAAATCCGGACTCAAAGCCACCACCAACCAACTTTTTAGGGCTTTTTTGGAGGGAAGGGGTATGCTTTACGCACGCGCATTACATTTTTTTCCTCATCATAAAAAAAAACATGCCGGAAATCCCGATTCTTAAACTCAGTTTGGCGCTCAATAAAATATTTCATTATTGAAGAAATAATTATTTTAGCATAAATTTGTGTGATTAGTTTAGTAACTTGACTCCATAGCTGCGTATCTTCTTGGCATAATCTCAAAAAGAAACATTTGATTAATTTTACACCAACTAATATTTTATATCCTTGATGCCGAAATTGCGAATCATTATTTATTGTATTTTGCTTTCATCACGCATGTTTATCAACGAATGACAACTTGAGTGATGAATCATGCAGCGACACCAAATAACAGAGTATTATCCGATTACAGATTTAAGTTTAATGCGCTAAAATGTTGGACAGGGGGAGGGAGATTTAGCAGAAATTTCTTTCCTTATGCTAAAAATAGATTTTGTTAATGATACTCATAGGACAAACGATTATATTTAGTGCTATTTGAATAAGATTAAGAATAACTGATTTGTTATTCATATAAAGCCAGAACCAGCGCCAGAGCTCGCATGGCCGCACCAGGTGGCAGATTTAGTGAAGTTAAACAGAAGTTTTTCATTGCGATGACAATGCCCCAATCATCAATCAATAACGGAGGGCGAATCTGTAGTATGGTTCTAAATCCAGAAAATACAGCTACCGATAGTGAAGAAAGTAACAGAGAGGTTACTGAACGAGAAAAAATTTTGATTGACAAGTTATTCGGAATTCTCGACACAGCAATTACAGGACTTGAACAATGGAACTTAATAACTGAACAAGAAATTATATGTCTGTAGTATTAGTCTAAAGTATTAGCAGAGAAAACAAATCAAACAACTCACTTTGAAAGAAATGTTTAATAAAGTAAACAAATAAATATTAAGCTTTTTTTTTTGTAAATTTTGATACCCTTTAGATCATAATTGTTCTTTATTTCATAAATTAATTTTTCATATTTTTAATTTTAGAATTTCTGCATGCCATCTTACGAGATTTAAACTGATGATCTATAATCCGGAAAAACCGATAATCCGGAATCGCCGAAGTCCCGACGAGTCCGGATTAACGACTTTTGACTGTATTAGTGTTTGCAATACATAAATAGCCATCTATTAAACTCAGCCACTTAAAAAATTCAAATATGTTTGGAACGGAATTGATCTTAATAAGTGGCAGGAACTGTATATATATATAAATAATAATATTTATATTAATATAAATTTCATTGATTAATATTCAGGTACAAGTTTTAGAATTTTCATTACTTATATAATAATTCTAATTTGAACAATAAATTATATTAAACATGCTTGCTACACAGCTATCAAAGAGATTCACAATTATAGTTCTATATTTAAAAATTGGATTTTAATAATCCAAATACTTTTTTACTTTATATACAATTGAGAACGAAAAATTTCAATACCTTTCCACTGTATTGTGATGAACTGTTGCTTTAGATCCTCCGACAGCATATAATAGTCCATCTAAAACACCTACGCCAACTCTGTTTCTAGAAATTGTCATTTTACAACAGGATTTCCATTTATTAGTTATAGGATCATAACAGTCCACTCCGTCTGAGTCTTGGTTGCCATCAAGACAGTTATTTCGGCCACCAACAGCATAAAATTTGCCTTCGATAAAGGCCCCTCCCAGTCCACTTCGAGGAGTAGGAAGATCTGCCAAGGCAAACCATTGCTTTTCTTGAGCATTATAACATTCCATATTACTAAGAGAATGTTGCAGGTACCCTCCAGTGGTGTATATAACGTATGGAACTTTAGGTGTTCGTTGATTGCAGCTGTACTTTCTTCGCACAGTCAAGTCCTGTAAAAAAAGCACATCTTTAAGTTAGATTACATTAAAAAAAATTGATTTAATTATGCATATATATATATATAGCCTATTTCCTTGTGTATTTTTTACCTAACTTTTCACACTAGGTTCTGAAAATTTAAAAGATATTCATGTTATTTTTCCTTTCAATGCAAAAAGAGAACCAGCTCTCCCAAATTTTAAAATGGATTCATTCACATAGTGATTGTTTTCATCGTACTAATAAATACAAATCCTTGTAAACTATCTGCGAAGGTCACACAAAACTTTTTCCGGTTGATCTTTGGATTATGGTAACTTAACGATTTTTTGGCGAAAATTTGGCGACCAACTCTGCTACAGCAACCCTCTATTTTTTTTCGCTGCCATTTTGTCTTCACGAAGTAAAGACATGTTTATTTTCCTTTTATTTACTCAACACTTTTTCCAACAATCTCTACTAGCCGAATTACACTTATGCTAGAAATTTTATGTAACAAAACTGCTTAATCATGACAAATATTAACTGCAAAATTGGGAAAAAGTGCACAATCGCAAACTCCTTGCGCGTTTTTCAGAATAGCACATACACATAAACCATTTACACGTTGACTAATTTTTTTTTACTTAAAAATAACATCCCAGAATTGCACAAAAATGGCCATTGCACATACTCTTAACTTTATCCATCTACACTGCTATTTTCTCATAAAGTTACAAAAATTTACACGAAAATGCAGGAAAATTTTCTTAATCTCTAAACTCGGTAAAAAGCACATGTATGAAATTACCTGAATCGCGAAAAAGTATATACCCTTTCCAAGGATGAACATTTCCACGTTATAAAATAAATAAAATATCCAAAAACTTTTACCTCTAAATTATCTATTATATTATAAACGTCACCAATGAATTTATATCGCAAACATTAAAAATAGTTACAAATACTTAGTGTCAAATATTTAAATTATTTCCATACATGTTTATTTCAACTGAAACATATACCAAATTGCTACAAACATAAAATTCACAAAATAACTATCATTTAATTAAAATATCACTAAACCATGTACATGTTGATTTATTTTTACTTAAAAAAACATCCCAGAATTGCACAAAAATGGCATTGCGCACACTCTTCAGTATATCCATGTACACTGCTTTTTTCTCATAAATTAGAAAAATTTCACAAAAATGCATGAAAATACTCATCGTATACTACTCAAACGTATTCCAAAATACTACAAACACATAACTCACAAAATCATGATCATTAAATTAAAATATAATTAAATTAAAAAACACTACCTAACATATAAATAAGCACATACATTAAATTAATAAAAATTAGATTTCAATCTTAATTACTTTAAACTAAATCATTGCTAATAACAATTTTCCAATACTACCATATTAATTTATTTACTCCTTACATTTAGAACAATGCATAAAAATAATATCCTCAAATGATTAAAAATACTAACTTACGTAATCTTCTTCAGAATCTTCATTACGTGCATGCACACTTCCATACACAAAGAGTTCCAATCGGCTGCAGTACTACTGCTAATTTCTAAATCCGAAATCCAGTAGTCAACTGGCAGTCTATTCACCCAGTAATAAGAAATTAATAAAATTTCACCCATACTCAAACTACTTTCAGCAAACCACGTACCCTTCCTTACAATCTGTTTCACAAAATGTCCATTTTCACCAGATTTCTTGCACCGCCATTCAAACTTATCTGTAATATCCTTCCTTTCACACAATCTCATTTCATTCCCATATTTGGACATTCATACTTATCCGCAATTAAACCTACACTCATACACCATTCAACCAATTCTTTTGAATTATCAGATAAATGCATTAAAAATTTACAATTCACTTTAGATAGCGCCATGCAATCCAAAAATTGTTCAACACTATTTCACACAACACACAATGAAGCTGAATACAAAATGCAGCTATAGTACTACAGATATTTTTCCAAATTTACCCCCTTTTCCGATTAAAGAACTGTAATTTGTCCATTAATGTCACATGACATATCTCATGATCTCTCATTTCCCTCACAGAAAATAATGCATAATTGGAACTGAGTACTTCTCACATTATTACCAAAGTCCTAGGTAGTAACCTTTATCGCCTCCAAAATGTCGCCAAACTACCTGTTACCATATTCCAAAGATCAGCCCTTTTTCCTTCTAACTGATGAACTTTATGGCAGCCTAATACAAGAACTAACGAGTCACAGCAAATCAAACATGAACTGACACACAGTCTACAATTTCAACTGCAAATTCACCCTCTCCAATTATTTATTGGTGATTGAGGACCAAGGAAAAAAAGACAATAAGAACAGATGAGAATCAAGTTACAGGGAAATAGAAATAATTAGACATTGTAATGTTAATATCATTATGTATTCTTATTGGAATTAGGTTTCCTTTCAAGAAATAATATTGTGATAATTACCGGTAGTTTATTCATGACTATTTTTCATTTTTGCAAAATCTTCCCCTTTCGATTTTTAAATGATAAAAATTAATAAAAAAGAAAAAATAGACAAGGAGATACAATGAATGTTTTCTGAAACATTTTGTTAAAACTTGTTAATGATTCTTTCAGGTTGTATAGGCAATTTCATATTTTGTAAACTCTGAAACAATCATAATAATAATAATGCCATGAGAATATATTTTTATTAAAAAAATGGGAAATATTCAAATTTATATTTACCAAATTAAAAGTTGGTAACTGCAGAAAATTTCTGTAAGTTTCATTTTGCAATTCAGATTCAACATTTATTTCAAATAATTCTAATACTTTGAAATAACCACTAAATAGCTTGTTTTAAATAAAAAATTAATAAATAAGCTTTCCAGGTCTTCACAGAAAACTTTCCATTGTTTTAAGTAAATAATTATAAATTTCTTCAGTTTTGACTACTACTTAGGGTGTTTCAATTTTAATAAAGTTTATAGCCTAAGGAAAGAAATTACCGGAAAATGTCTTCATTATGGACTGTAGATGCTTAGTGGTCAGTTGAACTCTTTATTTAATTGGGATGATGTAAATTGTATTCTTTTGTAACTGACATTCCCTTATTACAAATAAAACTAGAATTTTATTGAGCACAAACCAAAAAAGTACATAATTTCCAATCTTGAAAAACAGGTCCTCTTATCTACTTTTCTACTACCCTGTTTTAAAGACATGATTTGCAGTTTAATCTCTTAAATAAAATTATTATTATAACTAATTTACAACTTGAATTCTTCAAGATGAATTTCCATATTAAAGCAATACTTAAAAGGTATGACCAACTCTAAACAATAAATTTTATTATGATGTATATATAACAAGTATAAATAAACTGGTTCCATTAAGATATACATTAGTTTATCACCATCTATACAGTAACAGCATGTTAAACACTGTGCATCCGGTGTGTTAAACAACTAGTGACTGAAACAAAGTAATACTAACTCAATAGAAAAAAATATCTCTTTCTCTTGTAACGGCAGACACACATAAGCTCAGTCCATACAACTATGTCTCTAAAGCTATATGGAACACACTAACAACAAATATATAAGTTAAATGTATTTGTAGGTCATGTTAAATTGCTTTGAGAGCCACCAATTTGAGACCAATGGTCTAAAATACCTAGTTTTAGAATTTTCAATTACATTATAACTTAGTCACTCCACATACTCATCTGGATTTTTATTACCATTTTTTAATTACTTGCTAACATTTTCTGCATCTCTGTCATTTCATTTCTTATCACATTTACTAATGAATGGCAGAAATCTCTAACAGGCAGGAAAACTTAAAACAAAATGAAATATTCACCTTTGCAATTCTTACAATAAAATAAAATTCTGAAATTCATATATATATATATATGTTATTGTGCTTTAGATTCTAACATGAGAAGGCTACTCGATATTGCTTGCCTTCTTAATAATGACAGCAGTTGTGCTTGGATAAATGTTAAGATTTAGTTTTAAATTTAGCCAATAAAGATTTTTTTTTTTTTTTTTTACTTTTGCTGTATATGTCAAAATAGAAAAAGCTTAAGTAACAGCACACGTAAATACATTTTAAAACTTAAAACAGTACATTCTAAATGAGAAAAGAAAATCCCCTTCCCGCAAAAAACTTAATTATGTGATTGAAATCTTATTTATTGCAACAACTTAAACTTTTATGACATTTTGAATTGCACAAGAGTCCCTTGCTTTTACAACTGCATTTAGTTGTGGAACACTTCCTTTTGTAGTGACAGCATGTATAGCCTTGCCCTCCACTTCTCGAATTAGCTGCAGCTGCTTCTCTCAGCAACATTTCTTGAGAAGAAATCTCATCTATGGAAAGTAACTTTTCTTTACAAATTATGAACTGATTATGGGTATAAAGCTGCTTGAAGGTGCCATTTTTATTTGCTAGTTTATAAAAGGTGGCATTTTTATTTGCTAGTTTATAAAAGTCGGAGTTTTCTATTCCAACAACAACTGCCAACACATTTTGGCCATCTGTACTATCACGGTTGATGTTAAGGTCGACCACTGTCATAAGGTATCACCAATTTCAGCATGAGGAATTTTTTTTTTTTTTTTTTTTTTTAAGGTTCATGACATTTTTATTGCAGTAGAAGATTCTCTTTCTCGGCCATCTTTTTATAGGATTTGATTCAAGTTTTATAGGATTTAATTCAGTCAGCGCTTGATATGAAGATATGGTAGAAGATTGCAGGTCCTCTTCAATATTTTTCTTTCGAATATGGTTTTCAGCATGGCCACTGCTTAAATTTTCTTCAAAAGTATTAACAGTTTCTTCAAGTTGTTCTTCGGTTTAAAAACTATTAGCAACTTTTTTGAGTTGTTCTTTGGTTTCAATATTTGCGATTTGTTCGCCAAGCAAAAAAGATGATGCTAAGCCTCTTTTTGGTTTAATAACAAACATGGCTTCATAAGGACTTTGGCGTATTCCTTCATGCAGAG